TATATATATATATATCCACATGTGTTATGTTCTATTTCCTTTCTGCAAGCTAAAGGGGCCACAACATTTTCTTTGCGGATTATAAACTTGCAAATGAAATAACGAATGGATTATATTTATATACGCGAAGGTCGAGTATTTCACTAATACAAACACTCACTGGCAAAGGAAAATGCGTTCGTTTGCTAATGAAAAAGTGCAATTTATCTTTGTCAATTAGGTACTGTGATGTGTGCTAAAACGGTATACATCGTAATCATTTATTTTTAGTGATTATTCCACGTAATGAAATATTATGCAGCAGTAAATTTTACATACAATTAATGGCCTTCAGTTAATTAGATTAGAGATCTCAAAAATGGGGCACGAGGCTGTACACTAACATTTTTCGCTCTAGTTTCTTTCCTTATTGATATAGGTTAGGCATATTCCTACTAAAAATTTTCCTTGGGCTTACTGGATTTCCATGGAATGGGTGGTATTGGGACATTTTGACAACACCACATTTTTAGGCTATAGTAAATTTTGGCCCATATTTCAATGTCTACTTTCCAAAAATGAAATTTGGTGTGATCGTATTCGTGAAATCCATCGGCCAGGATTAAACGTACACCCGACTACATGGCCCGCTTCAGGAACATTCCTCATCAGGTGCTAGTATGCTAGTTGTAGAAACCTCCAGAGTTAATGTTTGAACATCAATACAACAGCTGGCGATGTTTAGTAGGAAACGGTTTACACAGGCATCTCCAAGTGTGATTTTAAAACATCTCGTTATGGTATAGGATGCTCAGAAGAGAGCGTTCGAACTGCACTCAGTTGATATTAAGGTATTAAATCGTGCCCATAATGACAGTGACTTGCAGTATATTATCCAGGGTAAAAAGAGTCCCTTTATGTGTTGAGTGCGTTTTGAGATGTCGACGAGTACCGTATACTGAATATATAACATGTCAACTGTTTCTTGTTTTAATGCATGGGAAACATGAATGTTCTCACCTGAAATACATCACTTTCACTTGAAAACGACTGCCATTCAGTAGAGTCAAGAAATTCACTTTCTGAAATGTGATGCAGGAATTGCCCCTGATGGAAAACCTTCACCCTGCAGAAGGAAAACAAAAAACACGGATTAGTCGATAAAATTGGAAAACGTCCAATAAGCTCAAATTATCACAAGATTGGCTTAGCAGCTGCGCCTGTGACGATATGTTTGAGTATCAATTTTATAAATCAATAATTGTATCATTATCATATTGTCAGCTGCATCCAAGGCTAGGCAATCTTCTAGCATCTAAATATATGCCGGGGTCCGGCTTTTGAAGGAACTCTTGGGTTAACTCCTTAGCTTGCTCTGGATTATCAATTATAAATAATAATATTATAAATGGTAGTCAATAATATTGTTTACTTACTATACCTTTACTTAGGCCTTCTATAATACCGTAATGATTTAAATGATAACAACAAAATAATATTGTAATTAATCTTTCTTCGCCCCATAATAATGGTGATAATGAATAATAAAACATAATAAATAATAAAATATAATAAATAATACATAATAATAATAATAATAATATTAATAATAGAAATAATAATTAATAATAATAACAATAATAAAATTCAAATAATAAAATAATAAAAATAATAATAAAAAAAATTAAATTAATAAAATCAATAATGAAAATAATACTACAAATAATAACAATAATAATAATAATAATAATAATAATAATAATAAAAATAATAATAATAATAATAATAATAATAATAATAATAATAACTATCATGAGGTAATGCATGTACAAGGCAATACAACTATTTAATGTTTTATTTTTTTATAACAAAATTACACGTGGACGTGTTGACGGGCAAATCATATGTTAAGTATTTCTATTGACACATAGTTTATGAGTATAATAGGCCTAGTTTATTTTATTTAAATATATGCTAGGATAAACCTAATTGTACACAGATGATAACTTTGTGCAGTTGATAAATCAGTTCAGCCTAGAATGTGCGTGTTTTCAGGCCATGGTGTGAAATGCGCAGAAGCCTAAATTACTTGCATTCATGAAATGGTTTATAAACTGAATAATAACATAGCAGTGAATGAATTTACAAAATTGGTGTTAATCGGTGCAATATATTGTGTATATGACACAAGGCGAGAAGACTGTTTTGCCATAAGTAAAGCGTTTCTGTTGTCACGTGGCTGGCTACGCTACAATGTCGAATATGCGCTATCTTTACACATTCATCATTGTCAGAGCGTGCAAAATCCGAGTTGAAGGAATGTGTGAACAGAGTGTAAGAAATAGTCGGAAAAAGGAAAAAAGATATTAGTCTGACATTAATGAATGTCAATAGGATAGATACTGATTAATAATCTTGAAAATTTAAATTGTTGGCAGTTAACATATCCCTGCAAACACAAAACGTTAGAACATTCGCGAATGCTGTGAACAAGTTACCGTAGGTTATGCCAGAAAATAACGTTAACAACAACATAGCAACAACGTCTCCAAACGTTATTTAGTGAAGCATAACTCTCAATATAGGATATTTTGTCGTTTTACATGAGGTGCATAGACAATGTAAAAGAGATAAACGAAATAGCTTATTCGTAAAAATAGTAAATACTTATCTGAAGAAGTAATCTTAA